GGAGGTTAGTGGGGGGGGGGCCTGAGTGTCATGTGGGGGTCGCTGAGCATTTTTGGGGGGGTCCCTAAGTCATACAGGGGGTCCCTGAGTGTCATTAGGGGGTCCTTGAGCATGTGGGGGGACCCTCTGGATAATGGGGGGGTCTCTGACCAAGTTTGGGGATGTCCTGAGCATATTTGGATCCCCTGAGCATCTTTGGGGGGGGTCCCTGAGCACTCTGGGGGGGTCCCTGGGTGGGCTGGGGCCGGGGGTGACACGGGGACACCGCTGGGACCCACCTGGGGACGATTGGTCGCTGCTCAGGACCAGGTTGGCCGGGGTCGGACGGCGCCTCCGGATCTGGGGGGGACAGAAGAGACAACTGGGACCCCCGGGCACGGAATTGGGACCCCCAGGCACAGAACTGGGACCCCCAGGCACAGAACTGGGACCCCTGGGCACGGAACTGGGACCCTTGGTCAGGGAACTGGGACCCCCAGGCACGGAACTGGGACCCCCGGGCACGGAACTGGGACCCCCAGGCATGGAACTGGGACCCCCAGGCACAGACCTGGGACCCCCGGACACAGAACTGGGGCCCTCAGACACAGAACTGGGACTCCAGACATGGAACTGGGACCCCCGGACACCGAACTGGGACCCCCAGACACGGAACTGGGACCCCGGGACACCGAACTGGGACCCCCAGGCACGGCACTGGGACCCCCAGGCACGGAACTGGGACCCCCAGGCATGGAACTGGGACCCTTGGACAGGGAACTGGGACCCTCAGACACAGAACTGGGACCCCCAGGCACGGAACTGGGACCCCCAGGCACAGAACTGGGACCCCCGGACATGGAACTGGGACCCCCGGACACAGAACTGGGACCCCCAGGCACGGAACTGGGACCCTCGGCCGTGCCCGACCCCCCGGCCCCGCTGGCCCCGTGCCCGGGGCAGTGCTGGCCCCTGTGCTGGCCCCTGTGGTGGCCCCGGTGCTGGCCCCGGTGCTGGCCCCGGTGCTGGCCCCGCGGGGACAGCGGTGGCCGGACACACGTGGCTTTTCCATCCCGGAGCTAATTTTACCCGGCATCGGGAAGCGCGTGGGGACAGCGGCGTGGGGACAGCGACACGGGGACAGCGGCCGGGCCCTGCCCTTCCTCTGCGGCCGCTGTCCTTGCCCAAGGTCACACCCGGAGCCGCTCCGGCCCCGCCGCTGCCTTTTGGGGGGGCTGGTGGCCGCGGTGGGGACAGAGGTGGCCGTGGGGACAGCGGTGGCCGTGGGGACAGCGGTGGCGGGGGGGACAGCGCTGACCCCGCGCCCCCTTTCCCCGCTGACCCAGTAACTGCGCGCTCCGCCAGCCGCATTTCCCAGCGAGGATTCCCTAATGAGGCGGGCTGCCTAATGAGATGCTGATGAGATGCTAATGAGGCGGGCGAGCCCCCGGCGCATCCTCCCGTGCCGGCCCCGTTGCCATGGAAACGCGGGCTGGATGTTAACGGGAGATTAGCGGGACAGGGAATCGCCGGGAATCGCCCCCGACCCACGCACGAGCCCCCCCTCTCTGGGGTCGGGGTCCCCCCGCCCCCCCCGCGAAGGGGCTGGGAGGGTTTGGGGCCCCCCCAGACCCCGCAGCTCCGGGAGGGACCCCGGGAACCGCGGCCCCCCCGGGACGCTGCAGCCCCGGCGGAGCCTCCCGAGGGTGGGGGCGAGGCCGAGACCCCCCCCGGGGCGGGGATGGGGAGGGGACAGCGGTGTCACCTGCTCAAGGTGACCCAGGTGGAGCCGAGGGCCCCCGGCTGAGCCCCCCCCCCCGCTCATTCCGGGGGTCCGGGGCGGGCGGGGGGATCCCGGCGATGCTCCGGGGAGGGGACGCGCTGGTCCTTCCCCCCCCCCCCCCCCCCCCCCCC